GAAATTTTGTATAGTGTACCGAATTGAGTCTAGAATGATGAGTGCTATGTTTCTTGAAAATCGGCAAAGATATGGATGTAGCTCCCATATATATTTTCGTCCGATTTTATGTAAATGTTGCACCAAAGTCCCTATATATATTTCGATTTACACGAAATTTGGCATAGCATACTGAATTAAGTCAAGAATGATTTGTGTTAAGTTTCGTGAAAATCTGTTCAGATTTATATATATCTCACATATATTTTTTTCGTCCGATGTTATGTAAATGGAGCACCAAGTCCTTATATTTCTGTTGATATACACGAATTTTAGCATAGCGTACTGAAATAAGTCTGAAATGTGTGCTTAGTTTTGTGATAATCGGTTCAGATATTGATATAGCTCCCATGTATATTTTTTCGTTCGATTTAATGTAAATGGTGCACCATTTCATTTCGATTTGCACAAATTTTGGCGTAGCTAACTGGATTAAGTCTAGAATTATGTGTGTTAAGTTTTATAAAAGTCGGTTCAGATTTAGATATAACTCCCATATATATTTTCGTCCGGTTTAATGTAAATTGGAAATCGGTTCCAATTGCAATTTCTCGTTTGTTTTCTATGTGCTTTCTTTTTATGAAATTGCAATTCATAATTGTGTGGAGGTTTTTTAACAACTGATATTAACATAGTAAAGTCATTAAAAAAATAATGTAATGTAAAACAAGCGAAAAAGCGTTAAGTTCGGCCAGGCCGAACTTTGGATACCCTCCACCATAGTCATACTAACAGATACATGCAATGGAAATATGGGGAACATACCAAAAAGTGGGCATATACCGATAATTCTACAAGTGGGCATATACCGATAAGTAAACCATTATGTACACCAAATACAAACTTTAGCAATTTTTAATGGCGATTTGTCCTAAAATCTGTAAGATCCAACAAGTGGACTGATACTGATAACGCATGGTAGAGTATAAAATCCTCAAACTACTGTAATTTAGATTACTAAGTTATATGAGGCTATGCCTAAAGGGGGCCAATATTGATTACATGGTGTAGGAAATAGCGAATATTTGGGGATATCATTATATGAGGGCTATTGTTAGTTAATGACCGGTATATGCCAATTTTGAACCCAATGTTTTAATTGTTTATCTCAATTCTTTCCTTCAGGAGGTATCACTATATTGAGGAGATGCTTAAATGTCTGCCGATATATTTCATTATCTTCATGTTTGAGTTTTTTTATCACAATATCTTTAGGTGGCGGAATGCTTACAAAAGATGGCTAAATAGTCTTTGTAGGGTAAAAATTGACTATTCCCCGTAACGACTATCCAACCGCAACACACGGAAATCAGATAATTATTTTAATATGGGGACTACCCCTAAAAAGGGGTGAATATTAATAATGTTTGGTGGGGAGATTTGTTACCATATACGACTACAAAATACCAATTTCCAATTCGTTTGAAAAACGCGCTCAAAAACATCAAAATATCGAAAATTGGGGGTAACCTTATATGGGGGTTACCCAAAAAAATTTACCTATATTTATAATTTTTTGTGGAGAGATTTGCTACCCAATAAGAACTCAAATTACTAAATTACAGCCAATTCGGTGAAAAAATCCAGTCAAAACCCCCCCAAAAACTGGAAATTGGTAGGTACCCTTACCCGAAAAAGTGGATCTATATTTATAAGTTGTAGTGGGGAAATTTGGTACCCAATAAGAACCCAATGTAGCAAATTTCAGCGAATTCGGTTGAAAACCGCGCTCAAGAACCCTAAAATACTGAAAATTAGGAGGTGTCGTTATATGGGGACTACCAGAAAAAGGGAACCTATAAAAATATTTTTTTGTGGATAAATTTAGTATCCAATAGGAATCCAATGTAGCAAATTTCACGAATTCGGTTGAAAAACGCGCTGAAAAAATTGACCTATATTGATAAATTTTAGTATTTACCCCTAAAAAGGGGTGAATATTAATAATGTTTGGTGGGGAGATTTGTTACCATATACGACTACAAAATACCAAATTTCAGCGAATTCGGTTGAAAAACGTGCTCAAGAACCTTAAAATATCGAAAATTGGGGGTACCCTTATATTTGCGTTACCCGAAAAAATTGACCTATAATTATAATTTTTTTGTGGAGAGATTTGCTACCCAATAAGAACTCAAAGCACCAAACTACTGCCAATTCGGTCGAAAAATGCGACTAAAATACCGAAAATTGGGAGGGTACCCTTATAGTGGTGCTATCCCAAAAAATTTTCCGATATTTATAATTTTTAGTGGGGAGATTTGCTACCCAATAAGAACTCAAAGTACCAAATTTCAGCGAATTCGGTTGAAAAACGTGCTCAAGAACTTCAAAATACTGAAAATTGGGGGTACCCTTATATGGGGGCTGTCCGAAAAAATTAACCTATATTTATAATTTTTAGTGGGGAGAGTTGCTATTCAATAATAACTCAATGTACCAAAATTCAGCGAATTCGGTTGAAAAACACGCTCAAGAACCTCAAAATACCGAAAATTGTGGGGGGTACCTTTATATTCCGTTCGATACATGTGAGAAGCACAATTTTCTTGATCCTATAAATTATATAATTAATTTTCATCAACATTTTAAGGAGGAGGTTCCGACGGTCCATATTTTGACATATTCCCTGTACAAAGTTTCTAGCCCCATTTTTGGGATTTTGAAAGTTTCATCCGAATGTGGTATTTCGAGTCTTTGGAGGGTTATCGTTCTAGCTTCATTATACCCTACACAACTATGTTGTCAGGTTATTATAGGTTTGTGCAGCCCCAAAAGTTTGCAACGCAGCGAAATATTGGTCCTAGGCCCACCTTTAAGTATACCGATCGTCATATCTCGACTAGCTGAATCGATCTAGACATGTGTGTCCGTCCGTCCGTCCGTCTGTCCATTATAATTTGTAAACACGATACAGGCCACAGTTATGGACCAATCTTCACGAAATTTTGCATGTAGGATGGGTTCTGGCCAATGAAGACCCCTATTAAAGATCGGTTAATATTTAGGGGATGAAATGGACTAAATACTAAATTTTTGTCGGGTTTTCTGGTCGCTCCAGAGGCCGCAATTATGGCCCAAACACCGTGAATTTTTGCATGGAGAAGGGAATTGGGCCAAAGAATAAGGATGCCTGTTTTGATCAAGATCGGCCAATATTTAGCGGGTCAAATGGACCCTGACTTGTGCGTGAAAAATTACAAAATTTGTATTCTATAGCGTATATATTTACCCCTGAAGAATAAAGACCCGAGAAGTTGATAGCTTATCCAAGAGAAGTGGTTGACCTTTAACCATCCGGTCAATAACCGGGTACATTTGTACCTTTTTTCGAATAAAAATGCTGTAAAACTTTTAATAATGGAGATATTTGGATCAATTTTTGAGGAATCATTCTTGAGGTATTTTCACACATAATCGAAGAAAAAATTATAAATATTTTCCATATATATAATTTTTAAAATTTTTTAAAGTCATTACCTACGTAAATCATTGTTTTTGTCCCTGCATACCAAGGGAAACCAAGGGAAACGAGTCGCCCTGATGGCCCCATGTTGTCTAGGGCCACAAAAATTTACAGAGGGGTTGAGGAACACCTAAATAAGATCCCAATTAAAAAATAACTAAAAATGCTTAACCCATTCGAAAGCTATAACGAATTTACTATGATTGTTTTAAATAGATTATCAATTAAGCATTGATTTAAATATATATTATTTTAATTATTATATAAAATTTTGAGTTCCTACATCTAGATGAGATCCGTATAGACTAATTTAAAATAAAAAACCTCACGATAGTCCAATTTTTTAGTGAGTTACAGAGCTATCTTTGGATGTGTACAAATGTACCACGGTATACTTTTTTGGTTATTGACCATAGGGTTAAATTGATACAAATTATATGGTCGTATGTACTCAGATGTGGGAGTTACACTTCTTCATATATTATTTAGTAACCCATTACCACACTAAATAGCGGAAATATATCTCTGATCTCTTTTAATTTTTTCTTGAGAATCGAGGTATGGTAAGTACCACGAATTTAATTTTCGGTTATGATCATTATTATCTGATTGGGATGAACTGGACAGAAAACTTAATTTTTTGTGTTTTTTTTTCGAGTCGATTTATAGGCCACAATTGAAAGCCGAACATCACAACGCAACACACGGTGAATGGATGTTGGACAAGTAATCAGAAGGGCTGTACTGAATATTAGTAACATTTGTTGACCTCTAGTCGGTCAAGAGATTGCAAATATAACGAAATATTTCCCAAGCTAGAATGTAGAACCACACAAAGTTAGTTATCGTGGAAGTTCTGTAGGGTATCATATGGTCGGCCCCGTCCGACTATACTGCTCCGCTCACTGGTTTAGTTTTGCAAACTGAGACCAGAAATAATTTACTGGCCGACAATTTTTAGTCACATGAAGGTTATAAAAATTAAAATAACTTGTATAGGAGAAAGTGGACCTATTTTATATTAGATTTAGATATACACCATTTTTGGTAAATATATAAGTTTGGATACAAAGTTTGGGTAAACCTTGGGAGATTAACCAGAGGAAGTGCACCGATATTCAACTAAATTCTATGATTTGGAAGTATCGAAATTCATGAAATTTACATGGTGAAGAATGGTGCAATTGCATACAGCCAAATTTAGTTTAGAAACAATAACATATTCTAAGTTCAAAACAGTTATTATTAAGACATTGCTCCCGTATATCATTTATTCCGATTTTAGATATACCTCCTATATATAATGCGCTATTTATATAAAAGGTTTATTGGTTTCACGTACATGCTAATGTTCATATTCTAAATTGACAAATGCGACATATACAATTACAATGAATATACAAATAAATATGACAGTTTATCTACCGACAGACATCAGTTATTCTTTAAGCGTAGAAGAAAAAGCTTCGCTCTTTTAGAGAATTCATACAATAAAATGAAATTCGTAATTCTATTATTATTGTTGTTTACTGCCGTATACGTTACGGCGGGACCACCTTGTTTGGTTTGCCAGAAATCATTGAATGACACCGCTGCGGCAATTTTAAGTGATTCATTGAATAAACTAGCTAAGCGAGAGGGGCCCACCTACAAGTATGTATTTAAATTTGAATGTACAGTGGAACATATTTATGACGAAATTGGAATAAAAATAAAAACAAAAAAAAATAAGTTTTTATATCCTACACCACTACGTTGCCAGGGTATTATAGCTTTGTGCAGCCCCAAGAGTTTGTAACGCCGCGAAATATTGGTCCTAGGCCCACCTTTAAGTATACCGATCGTCATATCTCAACTAGCTGAGACAATCTAGACATGTGTGTCCGTCCGTCCGTCTGTCCATTATAATTTGTAAACACAATACACAGTTTCGCGAAATTTCGCATGTAGGATGGGTTCTGTTCAATGAAGGTCCCTATTGTTTTTGGTAAATTTAATTTTTGTCGGGTTTTCTGGTTGCTCCAGAGACCGCAATTATGGTGCACACATTGCGAATTTTTACATTGGGAAGAGGATCGGGACAAAGAATAAGCATGCCTGTTTTGGTAAAGATTGGTCGATATTTAGCGTGTCAAATAGACCCTGACTTTTGTGTGAAAAATGAAAAAAAATTGTATTCTATGTCGAATATATTTACCCCTGAACAACATTGGCCCGAGAAGTTTATAGTATATCCAAGAAGAGTGGTTGAATTTTAAGTTGATAGCAATATATTGTCATATGTACTCGGATGTGGGAGTTACACTTAAATATTTACAGGACAAGTAATTGAAGGAATATACTGAATATTAGTAATATTCGGAAAATATGTCAGTGTAAGGAAGAGGTGCTGTTGACCTCTAATCGGGCAAGAGGATTCAAATAACACGAAATATTGCCCAAGTTCGGAATAAACATCCGCAGAATGTTAGTGTTCCGTGGTAGTTGTGTAGGGTATCGTATGGTCGGCCCCGTCCGACTATACTGCTCCGCTCACTGGTTTAAATTTTGAGTTCATTTTATATTTGCAATTCGTCATAAATATTGTCGACGGTTTAAATTTATATTTTAATTTGCCTATAAACTAAACTATATCTCTTCCTTACAGATTACTCAAAATACATTCTGCTAGCACAGAAGTTGTGCGAGGTCTGCTGTATAAAATAAATGCAGATTTAAGTGATCAAAACAATAATATGAAGACATGTGATATTGAAATATTTGATTTTAAAGATGTAACCGTTACAATTAAATGTCCGGGAGAAGATGTTGTGAAGAAGAAATTTACTTAAATGGAAACAACTTTAATAAATTTTAAAATACAAAAAAAAAACTAATAATAATAAACTGTTAATATCCGAATAAGAAAAAAATAGAAACGTCGTTATGATGGACTGGACCTTACTTGGTTTACCCAGCGCCATATTATGTGCATTCAAAATTTCGTAAAATGAAAAAATCATTGCAAAACCAGAAAGGAAAGTAGTAAAGTCAGGCGGGCCGATACCCTTCACCACTTTGGGTATATTCAACAGATGCAACCTAACAGACCTGGAGTTTTTTGAAGGACCATTAACATGAAATGTGATGAAGTAAAATATGTGATTTTTATCTAAATGTGAACCGACTTACATCAATCCATAAATAAGACATTCTGCAACCTATACAACATTTTTCATTTGGACAGATATAAAGTCGTTTGTTTGCAATGGGAAAAAATAAAGTAATCGATTTAAATCAAATATCAATGGAACACCCGTTGTTTTTTTGAGCCCAATTAACATAAAGTCGGTCGAAAATAAATGTAGATTAGGTCTTCATTTCCACAAAACGCAATTGAGTCTTTCTATGTTTAATTTTGTAGGTTGTTCATTTCATGTCAATCTGACAAATCGAAATTAATATGGAAGTATTTATCCAAATATCAACCGATGGCAACGAAACTTGCCACAGTTTAGGTTACACTACATTGGGCAAACATGTGATAATGAAATATAAAACCAGTAAGGAAAGTAGAGAAGTCGGTATATTGTACATACGTATCCCTAAAATTGCATGGCAATTTTCCCTCAAAGGAACATACTCATGTCTTTCAGCAACCTATGATAAATTTAATTTCATTCGGGCAGATTTAGAGTCGTCTACGCACCATGGGACAAATTTATGGAAATCGATTTATAGCAAAATGTATAGCGTGTATCAACACTATTCGGCAAGCCGTACTGTTCATAATTTAATTTCAGTCAAACACCTGTTCAAATTTTGTGTAAATCGGACAAACATTAGGAGTTTGGCGCAAAATTTATGTAAACCGGACGAACCGATTTTTCCGAAACTTACCACACATCATTCTAGACTCAATTCAGTACTCTATGCCAAATTTCGTGCAATTCGAAGGATATTTAGGGACTTTGGTACACCTTTTACATAAAATTTCATCCAAATAGGATCTCGAAAGCGCGACCTGTATTTTGCTCACAAAAAATCCATGGACTCCGAAAGTGATTCTATGTATATTCTTAAAAGGAACCATAGGTATATCTCCATTCCTTTTGCCTGGTACAAACAATGCACAAAGACATAATACGCTGTACCATAGTGTGGTGAAGGGTATAAACATCGGGCTGTGGTGGTATAGCCACCATATATGTGTACCGTTCCATTTTCTATATTTTGAAGACTTTGGCCACATTTTGCAATCAAAAGTACTGTAGTTTGGCATTCGGGAATTTTGGAGCTATTTATTGACATAAAGGTCCTAACATCTATATGTTACCATTCCATTTTCGTTTTTTTACGGTTTAGTATACCAAAGTTGCTAAAATTTTCTGTTCCAAGATCTTGAAGAAAAAAAAAATAAATATTTTCAATACATTCAATCCCACATTGAAAATATGTTGAATGTTTTAACTAGAAGTCCCTATTAGAACTATTTCGGTACGGACCCATGTATTGAAATATCTCCCAAGGTCCCTCTAATTTTTCGGTATTCGGAAGGTTTGAAGGGATAATCTTGTGGTAATTGAAGTCCCTTTAATACATTAAGGACGAAAATACATACAGGGAATCGAGTTAGAAAGACAAAATGTTCTACAAAAAGATTTCTCATTCCATTTTATATAAATGTAACCTTAAACCAGTGAGCTGAGCAGTATAGTCGGACGGGGCCGACCATACGATACCCTACACAACTACCACGGAAATCAAACTTTCTATGGATGTTTATTCCGAGCCTGGGCAATATTTCATGATATTTGGACCCTCCTGCCCGATTAGAGGTAAACAGCACCTCTTCCTTACACTGACATATTTTCCGAATATTACGAGTATTCAGTACAGCTACTCCTCTTGGATATAATATCAACTTTTCGGGTCTATGTACGCTTCTATAGCGTAAATATATACGCTATAAAATACAATTTTTTTAATTTTTCACACAAAAGTCAGGGTCCATTTGACCCGCTAAATATTGACCGATCTTTATCAAAACAAGCATGCTTATTCTTAGGCCCGATCCCATTCTCCATGCAAAATTTCACGATGTTCGGGCCATTATTGCGGCCTCTGGAGCGACCAGAAAAACCGACAAAAATGTATTATTTGGTCCATTTCATCCCCTAAATATTAACCGATCTTTCCCAAAAACAATAGGGGTCTTCATTGGCCAGAACCCATCCTAAATAAATATTTAATAATATTACGTTATGTAACATGTTGGTTTTTTAATTTCTCGCAAAAAAATATTTTATACTAATCCCCTGTTTTATTTTAATAGAATTGACATCGAGCATTATTTGACGTGTTTCTAATCCGTTTAAAACCTGCGTATATTAAGCCATAATTTATTATAATTTTTTTAAAATTTATATTTATTCAAATTTCATTAGAATTAAATAATTTGCCCAAGGCATATAAAATGTGTACGTTACAAACACACAATCATAAATATGCATGTGATAACATATATATGTATATTTGTACTTGGGCAGTAATTAAATTGTGTCATTATACCCTGCACAACTATGTTGTCAGGGTATTATAGCTTTGTGCAGCCCCAAAAGTTTGTAACGCCGCGAAATATTGGTCCTAGACCCACCTTTAAGTATACCGATCGTCATATCTCGACTAGCTGAGTCGATCTAGACATGTGTGTCCGTCCGTCTGTCCATTATAATTTGTAAACACGATACAGGCCACAGTTATGGACCAATCTTCACGAAATTTTGCATGTAGAATGGGTTCTGGCCGATGAAGACCCCTATTGTTTTTGGTAAAGATTAGTTAATATTTAGGGGATGAAATGGACCAAATACTAAATTTTTGTCGGTTTTTCTGGTCGCTCCAGAGGCCGCAATTATGGCGCGAACATCGCGAAATTTTACATGGAGAAGGGGATCGGGCCAAAGAATAAGCATGCCTGTTTTGATAAGGATTGGTCAATATTTAGCGGGTCAAAAGGACCCCGACTTTTGTGTGAAAAATTACAAATTTTGTATTCTATTGCTTATATATTTGCCCCTGAAGGACATAGACCCGAGAAGTTGATTGTATATCCAAGAGGAGTGGTTGACCTTTAAATTGATACCAATTATATGGTCGTACGTACTCAGATGTGGGAGTTACACTTAAGTATTTACAGGTGCTTTCGTACTGAGATATTATTTAGTAACCCATTACCACACAATAGGGCGGAAATATGGCGCTGGTCGCTCTGA